CTTCCTTAATTAATCCTCAGTGGTTTGATCAGGAAGTCATTCAGTGATAACGTCTCTACGCTATTCATAAGAGACATGGGCTAAGCTGACCTCTGGAGAGCGGAGGATTCTTAAAAGTCTCCTTGGGTCATCCTGACTCTGCTTCTGTAAACTCAGAAAATTAAATAGAGTCCATGGGTCAGATCCATCAATATCAAGAATGCAACACAATAATAACAGTTGACAAGAACATGAGGCATCAACTTATTAATAATAATAATAATAGCTCAAAGGTATTGGGACTTTATATGGGCAGCCACTAGCTAAGACTTCATGTGCATTATCTTAGTAACCCAATAAGGTTAGATCCCTCTACCCCCACTTTACAGGCAAGGGGATTGAGGCACAAGAAGGATACTCTGTCCAAGGGCCTACAGCAGGCAGTGGCATAGTAGGTTTGAAATATTCTGGAAGACCAGATCACCGAGCTGTGCTGCACTGTCTCTGCTTTGGGTCCCTGCTGCCTATCACCTGGGCTGTGGGCTTCAGGCCAAGTGAGTCCTCCTCTCTGTGGCAAGTAACACTGTGAAAGAGACCTGATGTTGGAAACATTTCCACACACTTCCAAGTGACACACAAGTGTTATTTCCATTAGTACAAGTCCTCCTGAAATCATTCTGTGTAGAAAATCAATCTGCGTGTCCTTAATTTGAAAATACAGAAAACATGAAAGGAATTGGAGAAGACACACATAAATGGAAATATATTCCATATTTAGGGATTGAAGGAATTAGTACTGTTAAAATAGCCATACGAACCAAAGCAACCTACAGGCTCAGTGCAATCCCTATCAAAATTCATGGCATACTTCAAAGAACTAGACCAAATAATTCTAAAATTTGTGTGGAGTTACAAAAGACCCCATATAGCCAAAGCACGATTAAAAAAGAACAAAGCTGTAAGGATCATGCTCCCTGATTTCAAGGTATACTACAAAGCTATACCACAATGCTGGTGCAAAAACAGACATACAGATCAATAGAACAGAACTGAGAGCTAGAAATAAATCCATACATATATGGGCAATTAATCTATGACAAAGGAGCCAATAACAATGAAGACAGGACAGTCTCTTCCATAAATGGTAATGAGAACCTTGGAGAGCCACAGGCAAAAGAATGAGATGGGGGGGCGGGGGGGGGACAAAACGTAGGCAGTAAGCTCCCTTGACATCAGTCTTGGGACACATCTTTGTGGATCTGACTCCACCAGCAATCGAAACAAAAGCAAAAATAAATGTGACTACATCAAACTAATGAGATTCTCCTCCACAAAGGAAGCCATCACCAGAATAAACGAGCAACCTATTGAATAGGAGAAGATATTTGTAAATCAAACATCTGAGAAGGGGTTAATATCTAAATATATATAAAGAACTCATACAACTCAACAACAAAAAAGTAAACTACTGACTAAAAAACGCGCAGAGCACGTGAATAGACATTTCTCCAAGAAAGCATACAGGTGGACAGCAGACACAGGAAAAGATGCTCAACATCATTAATTATTAGAGAAATGCACATCAAAACCACAGTATCTCCTAACACCTGTTACAATGGCTAGTATCAAAAAGACAAGAAATAGCAAGTGTTGGTGACAGCGTGGGGAAAAGGGAACCTTTGTGCACTGTTAGTGGGAATGTAAATTGGTGCAGCCACTTTGGAAAACGCTATGAGGATCCCTCAAAAAATAAAGAACAGAACTGCCATAGGAGTCAGCTCTTCCACTTCTGGGTACTTATCCAAAATATATGAAAACACGAATGTGAAAAGATACACGCACCCCTGCGTTCACTGCAGCATTATTTTTAATAGCCACGATATGAAAACAACCTAAATGGCCATTGATACATAAATGGATAAAGAGGTGGCTCCACACATACACACACACACACACACACATAGCCATAAAAAATAATAAAATCTTGCCATTTGCGACAGCATGGATGGATTCAAGGGTACTATGCTAAGTGACATAAGTCAAACTGAGAAAGACAAATATTGTATGATTTCACTCAGATGTGAAATCTAAAAAACAAAACAAAAGGACAAACAAAATAAGGCAAAGACAAAAATCAGAGATACAGAGAACAGACTAGTGGTTCCCAGAGGGGAAGGGGGTTGAGGGGTGGGTGAAATGGGTGAAGGTGGTCAACCGTGTGGTGATGGGTTGTAACAAGACTTATGGTGGTGATCACTTTGTAGTATATACAGATGTCAAATGATAAAGCTGGGCACCTAAAACTTACATCACAAAAAATATTTAGAAAGACAACTCTTCCGAATTTTTCGAGTTAACACCAGTGATAATGAAACCAACTCTGCATAACCAGCCCCCTGGAAAGACAAACTACTGTGTCCTTAAGTCTGAGTTCTTTATAATCATTACTCCACAACCAAATGGAGATACTACCTTCTCTCCAAATAGAAAACCAAGAAAAATCCCAAGATGTTAGTTAGCCAGGAGGCAAATCATCCAGAGAAACCTCTGCCTGTTTCTCTCCCTTCTGAAAGTACTGGCTCTTCTCAGGAGCTCTAAGAACTCACCCTTGCAGGTGAGCAGCAGACTCCGGGAGTAAGAAAGTTGACAGCTCTGTTCCTAATGAGCACTCTGGACACTTCTAGAAAGTGGAAGCAACACATGCAGATGTCTACTTGTTTTCTCGGAAGGTGAATAAAGGACTGGGACTCAAGGTGCAGGGAGGTAAGGGAAGCTTGAGCAAGTTTATGGACTGAGGAACCGGCAGAGTGCAGGCAGCAGAGACTATATGGATGAGAAGGGAATTGATAGAACGAGGTCCAGGGCAGATGAAGGATTTGCTCTAGCAGCTAAGAGGAAGGCTACTTTGGTTGGGGGTCAGGGGGACCAAACAGCATTTCTTTATTAGCGACGAGAAGGAGGATGAGGGGAAATGAGATTTTTCAGGTCGAGAGGAAGCTATTTGTGTCTGTCGGCCTCCATTTTCTCGGAAAAGGAGTGAGGGGGTTGAGGTTTGGATAAAGAAAGCTTGGGGCGCCTGGGTGGCGCAGTCGGTTAAGCGTCCGACTTCAGCCAGGTCACGATCTCGCGGTCCGTGAGTTCGAGCCCCGCGTCAGGCTCTGGGCTGATGGCTCGGAGCCTGGAGCCTGTTTCCGATTCTGTGTCTCCCTCTCTCTCTGCCCCTCCCCCGTTCATGCTCTGTCTCTCTCTGTCCCAAAAATAAATAAACGTTGAAAAAAAAAATTAAAAAAAAAAAAAGAAAGCTTGAGGACGGTGGAACATGTTGAGGACAAAAGTCAAGTCGAAAGCGTTAAGAGGGTCACCAAGTAGAAGTGACAGCTGGGTAAAGTTCTGGAGGTGTGATCTGTAGGCCAGAGCAGAGAGCTCAGTGCGTCTGAGCTGGGTCAGGCCCTCGGACCACGGTCTCTGACCTGACCCCCAAACTGCGACCTCCCCGGCTGTGATTTATCCAGGGTCAGGTCCTCGCCTCAGTCATTTCAACAGTTGCCTTTGCCTGCAAGACGATTCAACGTCCTCTGCGTGACACACAGGCCTTTGGCCACCTGACCCCAGCATCAGACCCCTTACGTCTCCAGCATCCTTTTATACCTTCTGCCATAGCGAGCTCATTTCAGTTCCCCCAAAGGCCCAGGCCCTTTCCTTGCTTCCGGGCCTTGGATCACACAGCTCCCCTGAAATGTTTTTCCCCTTTCATGTCTGTGAGGCAAGCACTCATTTTGTTTCTTAAAGATCACTTCCTCTGAGAAGCCTTCCGAGATCACCTAAGGTGGAACTCATCACTCGGCCTCTCCTCTTGCCAACCTACCTGTGCCCCAGATAGGTTCCTGACATCACACAGCGCTTCCTATTCCGTCAGTTCTAAGATGCACCTCTTTTCACGAGGTTTCAAAAATCTCGGAAGTGGCGATACATCTTAGAAACGGCGCATCATAGTTTAACTGGCAGGAGTTTTTATTTCTTTGGGGTACCAAATACAAGGTGCATTTCACACGAGAGAGCATTAGTGACATGCAGCTGCTTTTTTAACTTTCTAACATGAGTGGAGCAGCACTTCCCATTTTTGCCCCAAACCCTGGCTTGTAGAGCAAGATAAAGCAACTCTTGAGGACGGCTCTAGGCTTTCTTCAACATCCCTCCCTCATTTCCTTCCGATAGCCGCCTGGGAGGCAGCAATGAAGCAAACCTGGAAGGCCAGAAGATCTCAAGATCCGTGACTTTCAACCAACTAAGGTTAGTTAATGACAAAGCGGAGACTGGATCCCAAGCCCCCCCAGGTGTCCACAGCCCCACTCGGCCTGAGAGGCGGCCGCTCTGTTCCCCGGCTCGCCTGACTTAACAGTTTGGTACCATAAGAGGAAACGTGCCCTACAGATATGAGCTGCGTGACTTAGCAGGAGTTTAGCATTAGTATTCACGCTTCAACACCCGAAACCCACCCCGCTCTCACCCCACTTTATGAGAATTTAGGTTGACTCTGTAAGGCCTCTGAACTCTGCGGGGAGTTGGATTTATGCAAAAATAATCGTGAGTCTTAAGTGTGAAGGAACTTTAAATAAATCTAGGTGATTTTGTCATGCAAAAGACAGAGGGGACCTCAGACGTGTATGCAAGGCTCTGGAGAAAGGGCTATTAATTTAGAAGGGGGGGGCCAGGGGGAGCGGTCCTCCATCCACCGCTGCACATGTGGAAAGGGCCTTCAGCTGGAGCAGGAAGCTGATTTATGTGAGAGACAGAAAGGAGTTCCAGAGGCAGGTTTTGGCAAGGCTTCCCTGCGTCTCGGCTCCGCAGTCAGGTGGGCTCCAGGTGGGCCCGAGTTCCTGGACTCAAGTCCCCGGGGGTGTCGCCTCCCGCGTTCTCTCTCGCCCCGGCGGAAGGTCTGTGGCCAGCGCGGCCTCGCAGTGGGCGGCCCCGCCCTGCCCGGGGATCCTGCGCCCCACGCGGGTGCGGGAGGCCAGACTCGCCTTCGGATGGTTGGGGAAGGACCTCTCCTGCAGGAGGGGGCCCAGCAGCGTCTGCTCCACGCTGACCAGCTCCGAGGTCGAGGCCACCACGCGCGCCAGCGCGCTGCGCATGCCCATCTGGGCCAGGGTGCAGCTCCGCGCCCGCCTCGGCGCCTCGCACCGCTTCCGCTTCTGGGGAGCTGACCCGCTCCCCAGAACCCCCCATTCCTGCCCTCCCCCCATCCTGGCGCCCCAGGACAGGCCCGGCCGGCCGAGGGCCTGTCTATGCGACGCGCTGGGGCGGAGGACACGTGGTCTGGATCGCGCGGGCTCCCGGGGTCGCTGGGACCGTCCCCTCAGCCCCACTCCTGCTGCAGCAGCTGCAGAATCTGCAGAGCCACTATTTGGTGGCTGATGGAGGCCACTAAGGGCGCGGGGCTAAGCCGGCTTCCCTGTCGGCGGCTCCGCGCTCCGCGGGCAGGTGCAGCAGTGAGCGAGAGGGGCGGGGGCGTTTGGGGTCGCCAAGGTCACATTTCCTAATCCGCGGCCTCGCGGCCCCCTGGCCTCTCCCGGGTGGAGCCGGCCCCGCTCCTGCCCCCGCCCCGCAGTGGGTGACCCGGGCTGGCCGCTGAATTCGCTCCGTCCGAATGGGCGTGTGCAGACCCAAGGCTGCCCGAAGCGCTGCCTCTGTGCGCTCGAAAATCAGCCAAATGCTGAGCACTGGTTTTACATCGACTCCAGGACTTCGCCGGGGGGGGGAAGCGTGCTGCTTTGAGCAGATGTATCTACCTGCAGGGATGGCCCGCCCCCGTCTCCTTTGAAAGAGGCCTGTCAGTGACCTTTCGTGCCGCGGGTGCTGGAGGTGGCCGGTGAAAGACCCGCCCCGATCAAAAGTGCGAAGAGCCAGAGAAAGCTCACAAAAGGAAGACTGTGCCTGATCATGCCCCCCCACCCCCTTTCCCAACCCTGAGAATTTTCAGGAACTTCGTCAAGGCCTTGTGTTCCCCCAAACCAAACAAGGGGACTCGGGTATGGGAAGTCCTGCCCCTCTCTGCCTTGCCCCATGCCACGTGAGCTCAGAGGATCTGACGCCTAAAGTAGCATCAGGGCACAGCATGGGGGGGGGGGGCGCTCCTGAAGTGACTGGGGAAGCGCGGGTCTGGTAACTGCCCAGATGAGGGGCCTAAATGGCTTTGTGTGAAAGTCCCAGAGGACAGGGGCAGGGAGGTTTGAAGCTAAATCCTTTTACGAGCCATGAACCCCGAGACAGCTGTACAAATAGTTGCTGCTTTTAATTAAACTTAACTTCGCCGCGTCCTTGACTTAGGAGAGAAGACTGGGACATTTAAGCTTTGATAGATTGGAAACTATTGGTGTGTGGTTACATGTTAGGAGGGGGGAGAAAAGCAACACACGCTTGAGGAGAATGGTTGGAAGAGTGTTACAGAGCAGCATGGTCTCCGCTTTCTTCCTGCATGGGAAACTGTTTGCATAACTTAGCAGGTAAGGAGGGTACAAGCCCAGGGACAGACACATCAACCCTAGTCCCGGGGGAGGGGGGGGGGTGGAAAATGGGATTTCATTCTTCCTTTAGAAGGGAGAGTCCACTCTTGGTGCCGTCCAGTAAGAGCTGGAGAGACCTTTGTGTGGGAAGGCTGCTCCAATGAGTCTGTTAGTCTAAAGGGGAGTCCTCAGAGCTATGGGGTGAGATTCAGGGTCCTTTAAGGTTTCTTCAACTCTGGGATAACATGACCCCATATAATCCTCCCAATTCTCCAGCGAAGGTTCCTTCTAGTTCTCAGTGTTTTCTTCGCCTATGAAAACAAATCTGAATGCCAAGGTAAAGAAAACCTTTCTTAAACAAAAACGAGCATGTTCACACTAATTATAACTAAGTAAAAATGCATGTCTGTGCATTGACAGAAAGGAAATTACTTTGGAAGGAAGTAAATAGCTTAACATTGATGAGATTCTCTTGATGAAGTTACTTAAGTTCATGATAAAAAATTAAAAAAAAAATCTTTGAGTTTGTGTGTGTTTTAGTCCTCAAACACTGAAATACATTAGGTTTAGCGGAGACTGACCAGGAATAGCAAAAACTAAGCCCTACTTTGCACAGAGCACGTCAGATCTCCAGGCATGCTCCTCTTTCTAGATAGGCAGGAAATCCAGCCTCGTGGGCTCACTCTTCCGCTATCAGATGGCTGACTGCAAAACCTTCTTGACAGACGAAATTCCAGCCAACAGCAAAATTGAAATGGCTAGACACAGCCTGACCTGAGGCCCCACTGTTCTACAGAGCAGGCTGATTCTGAGACCCAGGAGACCAGCTGAACTTCAGGGACTATGAGAGAAGGGGCCACAGAACCGTGGGGTCCAGGGGCTGGTACATACTGCTTATACTGTCTGGGTTTCCTCGTATCTTTTAGAGAGGCCTGGATCGCCCGGCAGCTCAAGGCCATCTCCGGCATCTGTCTCAGCCATGGACCACATTTTTGTTTGCTATGACCTTCTAATGGCTGATGTCCCAAAAGCTGGAGATATGAGGCCCTAAGTGAGGAAAAGTATTCATAGGCTTATTGAGATGGGTCAGCAGCACAGCAGATCTACCTTTGGTTTAAACACCCCCAACGTTACACATGCTAGGCTACCAGACCAAGCAACTAATTACACACTCCCAGCTCACTATGGTGACAGTTTGAGGCCACTGTGTAACAGAAGGCACACTCAAATTGGATGAGGTACTGGACACCAGATATTGTTGCTTCACAGTATCTGTTTCACTCTTTTTTTTTTTTTCAACGTTTTTATTTTTATTTTTGGGACAGAGAGAGACAGAGCATGAACGGGGGTGGGGCAGAGAGAGAGGGAGACACAGAATCGGAAACAGGCTCCAGGCTCTGAGCCATCAGCCCAGAGCCCGACGCGGGGCTCGAACTCACGGACCGCGAGATCGTGACCTGGCTGAAGTCGGACGCTTAACCGACTGCGCCACCCAGGCGCCCCTCTGTTTCACTCTTTAATGGAAACAACACCCTCATCACCCAGTAGCTATCCGTCCTCCTCCATGCTCAGTCCATGTAGTCAAGTAGGATGAAGCTGTCCCACTGCACAAGTGAACAGGGGCATCTTAGGCTGGGGCCACTTACACATCACATTCTCATTGTGAATGATCAGGAGTGGGCACATGACCCAGCTGGAGCAAGTATGACAATAATATTTAGGATGCCTTCAGCTGAATGTACTATGTCAAATAAAATGATGGAACTAGAAGACAGTGTGGACCAAAAGATGAAATAGCAAAAAAAGGTGAATTCCTCTTTTAACAAGAAACCAATATAAAGGCATTTTGTCAATCAGAATAAGCTATTGTCTCGGATCACACACCTTAAGGTAGGATGGCTCCAGGGTTGGTTAATCTCTAGGGGTGTCGCATCTCCAGGCATGCTCCTCTTTCCAGATACCCTGGAAATCCAGTTTCATGCAGCTAATCCTTCTTCTATCAAATGGCTGACTGCAGTGATCCCTTGTGGATGTGGAACTAAGAAGACGTAAGCTCTGGAGCTTCTGCAGCCATCTTGTGAGTCTGAGGGATGAGCCTGTCCAGGAAGGAGCCAACACTCCAGAAAGAAGAGCAAGGGGTCCGTAGAGAGAAGCCAGTGGCCTTACAACACACGTGAGCCCTACATTTGGCAGTATAACAAGATGACCCCACCTCTGAGCTCTTCAATTATATAGGCCACTAAAATCTCTTTTTGTTTGAGCCCCTTTAGGTTGAGTTTATGGCCTCTTGCAACAGAAAGTCACAATGAAAGCAAATTGCTTCACATAGCTTATAGGGTGGATACGATGTTACAGTGTTAACAGGAGTGATTCTGTAACCCAGTGCCCCTCAGGCAAAACACTGCTAAAAGGTCCTTCCAACCAGTTCCAGCAACACCTCTGTCATTCACCTCGACTTTCTATTACTTCAGCACTCGTGGGGAAAACTCTTGGAGCAAGTCCGGTATTCCGGACAATTGATAGGAGCATTATGAAATGAGCAGTGGAAACACTCATGACCCTGGGTGATGTGGGGTGAAAAGGAGAAGAGGATAGAAAACTCGGTGAAATGAGAAGCAATATTCTATCTGTTAAGAAACATGATAGAGTGTGGTTAGAGGAATACGTATTCCGGCGCCTCCGTTCATCCGAAGGTTCTTTTCCACATGAGCAAAAGATATGAACTTCTTTCTTCTTTTCTCTCTCTCTTTTTGTCGTTTCTTCTATTGGCATACAGTCAATGCACAATGTTACACTTGTTTCTGATGTATGGCGAGTGTTAGACATCTCTACACGTTCCACTGCGCTCACCAAGAGTGTAGCAAGATATGAACTTGGATGTGGAATCTTGAAGAAGCCTGGCACAGTGAGGGGAAGGGAGGTGCAGCTACATGAAGCCTTCCTCAAAGGACTTGGTAGAGCCCAGATACATTTGAGCTCTCCTTATATACTTTGGCACTTTTCTCCAAAAGGGATCCAAGAGCATTCCAGAAATGGAGCTGGTAACCTTCAACACACCCTGGCAAAGTTCATAGGCGGGAGCAAAACAAAGCATGTCCAAAGAGACCAAAGAGTTATTATTTTTGAATGAAAATTATGGTTGAGGAGAAACAGATGCTGAAGAGATATCCCAAGATAGGAAAATGTAGCGTGAAAGAGAAAACAATGGCCCTAGAAAGGATGGAAACCTGAAGAAGAAAGAGCAAAAAAGATCAAATTCCCTTTGTAAACATACAATTGCAATGTTTGAATATGCCAGGTCATAAAAATGCACGTGCAACTCCAAGTTCGGCCCAAACATTTGATTTTCAGAAAAAAAAAAAAAAAAAGAAAAAGGCAGTCCTGCCACGAAACCTCTGAACTGCCAAAAACAATTGTTTACATAGGGCAAAGTGTTTTCAGGACATCATATACGCACTGCCTGCCCAGACCCTATTAAGCTGGTGAAGCTAAGTGAAGTTTAGTAAAACTGAGTGGAGAAAAAAAAGGGAAGCATAGTAAAGGGAGGGGGAGAAAGAAGAAGTTTAAAATGCTGAGTCTCACCTGACTGTGCCGACATAATCTGATGTGCAAGTCACATCCTCACCAGAAAATGCAATTCTTTCTGGACACGTAAATCATTTTACTTGGTTCTGTCTTTCTGATAAATTTACCTCCAGGAGGAATTCTTGATGTTGGCAGAAAAAAAAAAAAATTAAAAGTGGATTTTAAAAAGCACAGATAGGATTTTTCCCAATTCTTGTAGCTTTGGTGGATGATTTTATGTTGAAGAGTGACAGAGTTGTTTTGGATTTCATGCTGCCTACACATAATTTCAACAAGACAACCTGGCTGGGTTTCCCCTTCAATTTCTGATTACAGAATGTAACCCTTGAAGAATAACCTTTCCCTTGGAGGAAAAAAGTGAAAAGCTGCTTAATTCCCTGAACTATTTGCAGGTTCTTTAATGTTAGGGGCGGGGGGCGGGGGGCTCGTGAGGATGTGACCACCCTCATCACTTCCCATGACCATCCTGTATTTCCAGTAGGTACTCTCTTAATACGATCTAAAGAAATACACTACTCCTTTCCTTATATTTATCCTCATTCCCCGATGCATTTTTTTTTTCTCTAAGGAATTTTCTGTTCTTGTTCCCCAATTCCTCTTCTGTCAGGCTTTATGGTGGAGCAGGCGTTGGTGTTTTTATCTACGTTCTCATTTCCTCCTCTCTCCCTTCTATTTTTCCGAGCTCTCTTTCCTAAGACAAATAAAAGAAAGGAGGGGCAGGGAGGAGGGATTTGGGGAGGTACACAGTTCTGTACAGCGTTCGCTGCAAGATCACTATGCTTATGTTTCTGCGAAGTCAGAACTTCTTACTGGGAGCTTCAATCCGGTTTCCAACTCTTAAACCCTGCGTGAGGGGAGGGGGATCTCGAGCAGTTTCGAGAACTGGATTAGTGCCTTCCCACATTGGCAATCTGTGTTAGGAAAACAAGAGAGGCTGACAGATCTGCTTGTTTTGTTTGTTTGGTCATTTCAAACCTTTGTCTCAAAATATTATTGAGAATAGTCAGAAGAGTTGAAATAAGGTAAAAGACATTTGAAAAATAAAGATTTGTTGAATATGACTGGAAGCAATCCATTTTCCCCCCCTTGGAGGAAAAAGATATAAACTATTTTAAAACTTCTGTTTACAGAAAAACATGACATTGCGTATTTTGGCATTACGAATGTCTATATTTTAATCCTCATCATCTGTTTCTTTGTTTTTGTTTTTTTTTTTTACTGTTCACTGTTAATTAGCAAGTGGGGTTTTACAGATGCTAATCTGACCATAAAACACAAATGGTCCATAGAAGTGATCAAATTTCAAGCATTTGTTCAAAAAACCCATATATAAATTTTATTTGGTCTGTACTTCCCATTTGAAAATTGAAACCACATCCAATAGGATCTATAATGCTTCTGTTCAAATATCTAAGCTTACTCATAAGCTTAAATTGTAGTCTTTAATGGATCATTCATAGATAATGGTAGATAATTTGTTAAAGAAGCATTGAAGGAATTCTTAACATCTCCTTCATTTCAGCTAAGAATGAAATTTAATGCTTTCTGAGTAAATGTTAATTTTAATACATGATTCTATTTTACAAAGGCTTCGTTTTCTTTTTCTTAATTTTTTTTTTTAGCATTTATTTATTTTTGAGAGATAGAGTGTGAGCGGGAGAGGGGCAGAGAGGGAGGGAGACACAGAATCCAAAGTAGGCTCCAGGCTCCCAGCTGTCAACACAGAGCCCGACGCGGGGCTTGAACCCACGAACCGTGAGATCATGACCTGAGCTGAAGTTGGACGCTCAACCAACTGAGCCACCCAGGTGCCCCAACAAAGGCTTCGTTTTTAAAAAAATTTTTAAGTAAATATTATTCCAAAGTCAGCACAAAATATAAAATGCGTGTGACGGGATGCCTGGGTGGTTCAGTCAATAGAACATGTAACTCTTGATCTCGAGGGCATAAGTTTAAGGCCCATGTTGGGCATAAAGCTTACTTAAGATAAAATAAATGCATATGATGAGCAAAAAAATATACCCTAAAAACTCTTATTTATCACAATTTACACTATGCTTCAAAATAAAACCTTTTTTAGCTTTCTTAAATTTCCATGTTAATATTTTAAGTTCCCAAATTTAACATTCATGGAAGCTAACAGATTGGGCTTTTGTGGATGATAGAAACACCTGCCTGTGGAATCCAAGAAAATCAACTTAAAACTATAAGAACAAGTGAAATTTATTTCAGATATATATAGAGTCAACATACAAAAACTGATTAGCTTTCCTATATACCACAATAACTGATTAGAAGTGTCAGGGGGGAAATGGTCCATTTCATAATAACAACAAACCTAGAAAATAGCTGGAAATACAGTAAACATGAACATTTTCAAGACTTATGACAAAAAT